AAGTTGTATCCATTTTCGTGTGTCTTCTCATATGCCACCGTTAAACAAAGAAATAATACTCTTAATCCACCTGGGTGTGATGTTTTCTCATTTCAAACCACGTGTCATTCTCTTGAGAATAAGATTCTTTGTTTGAGTTGTATCCACATTCATGTGTCTTCTCATGCACAACCGTTAGGCAAAGAAATGATACTCAAGGAAATGACAAGTGGTCTGAAATGAAAAAAAAAAGAGGTCTATCTCCTTAGTTTTCTGTGAAAAAGCTGCTGCAACTGTCATTGATTCACTATTCAATGTACAACTATTCGTAACATCGTAGTATAGGCATAACATATGCACATTTACGTAATCAAGGAAGAGCACAATCGCAAAGCAAGGTGTACCATGTCAGGGGGGTAACGCCTTTGACATACTTTAGATGAAAAGACAGAAAACACACTTTACTTCGTCTCCCCCCCTCCCCCCTGCAGTTTGGCAAGTCAGCTTGTGCTCCCTCGGGTCTGCGGACTCACATTTTCTCTGTTACTTATTTTACTCCACTATGGAGCATTGTTTCAAATTGAATATACTACTATTGAATGAGTCACCTTGAATTTACCTTGAATACTCCCTGTAGGTATCATAAGGCGCATTTAACAAGACGACTCATTCTGGACACATCAGCTGACAGTGAAATGGAAGAGAATATGGTAGAATGGCTCAGGGTAAGTCTTTCTTATCCCATCCCATTCCATCCCATTCTATTCTCTCGTTTCATTTTATCCATAGCAGACATTATGGATGCATGCAAATGAGATGCAGATGAGGCAGCAAGCATTGTATCAACCCTGTATCAACCCAATACCTCACTTGTGAGAATATCTCGTGAGCTCAGCTGTATAATAGCTATTGAATCCCATCCTCCCATTCCACTTTTATTTCTGACCATTACATATTATCTCATTTTATCCCTCCCCATTATTGCCTTTCATTCCATTCAAGTCTATTCTATCCCATTCCTTTACATCCCATCCATTCATATCCTTTTCTAGCCATATTAGTGCACCTTATTTCATCCTAACAATCCATCTCCCATTTTGCCATTCAATGCTATTCTGTCCTATGCCATACTTGTCCATTACCATCCTATTCTATTCTATCCTATTTTATTCTAATAGACCTAATCGGCTAACGTGTTGCTATGTACGTTTCCACCCAATTCAAACCACATGGGACTAAGTTTCATTGTTCGTTATATTTTGGTTTCAGAGTTGAATTCGTAGAGACAAACGCTTCTATTCCCAGAAGGTTTAAATTGGGTGGTAACGTACATAGCAACATGTTAGCCGATTAGGTGTATCCATTGACTTTGATCAGCCCAGCTGTTGTTTTAGGGTTTAATAAAATTTGAATCATTTCCACTTTGTTTGACAGGATGTTGGAATGCCTGCTGACTACATCAATAAATTAGCTCGTATGTTCCAAGACATTAAAGTCAGTGAAGACTTGAACCAAGAATTTAAGAAGAATTACAAGACAAAAGGTGACGTTGCAGGTAAATGAAAATCAATTACAGCCCATTTCATGTTTCTGCGAACCAACCAACTTCAGACATCTGGTGTTTTGGCTACTCTTAATCAAATTTATGGACGGAGTGCATTCTTAGTCTTTCCAATCACAAGTGATGATTATTTCTGCAACTAGTTGTGGGAATATTAATCACTCATGATCAGTTGGCACTTGCCTGTCGCTAAACCAATTGTCGGTAGCCAAAACCCTAGTTGTCTGGCATCATTAGGTCTAAAAACATTAGACAGGCTGTAATATACATTTATATTCTAGTTTGCTCCCCCGCTCAACCGAATATAAATCATTTATCATTTAATACTACACATACTTTAGGAGAGTGTCCACAATGCTAAATACATGTACCTTTACTAGAGTTTCAAGGATGAACTTGATAAAATATAACCAAGAAAATGGTTATGATTAATAGCTGTAGTGCCCTCACCTCTCATCTCTATGGTCTTGGGAACAATAAGCCCCTTGAGCTAATCAATCACGTGCTGATTAATTCACTGAGAGCAAATGAATGAACATCTTGATTCCCATGGTTGAATTATAATGGCGTGAAAACAAAATTTCTAAAACTTGTTTCAAGAGATAGTGATAAAACTGCATTTTGTAACACACTGGATACATATGTTTACATTCAGTTCTTTACAAGTACCTAAAAAGAATCACCAATTTAATATAAAAACATAAATTTTGCCCTTCAGTACAGGCACGTGACCGTTAACTGCAAAGGGCCTATTTGTAGGCTCAGCATCGTATGTGAGTAGAGTTTGTTTGGTCTTTCCCTTTGATTCAAGGGTTTTTCTCCAGGTTCTCCAGTTTTCCTCCTTCCACAAAACCTAACAAGCTAAATTCCAATTCAATCTGTGAGTAGTTCACTGGCTTTCAATTAGCCCAGAGGCTGTTTATAGTGTTAAAAGGTTATCCAAATGTTAAAACAAAAACTGAGTTTGGGCTGCCTGTGGTTTGTCTTGTCTGGTGAAACATGACACCTTGTCTAGCTCTCAGCACACAACTCTCTTTGTCTGTGTTTGAGATATTAAAGTTGAGGAAGAGGATTTCTTTGAAGAAAAAATAATTGTTATCTCAATTTCTAATGCAAATTCGAATATTGAGTCCTATACAATTTTTTTGTTGAAAAATTTTGCTTTTTTATAGCTATCCCAATTGGTATAAAGTATGTTTTAGAAATCTTTACAGATATCAAAGCGTTGGTGGTATAATGGTCAGCATAGCTGCCTTCCAAGCAGTTGATCCGGGTTCGATTCCCGGCCAACGCAGTTGTTTTGTTTTTTCTTGACTTTTTTCTCTTTGTGTTACAGATTTATGGCTTCTTTGTCGAGTTTATTTGAAAATATTTCTGTGAAAAAAATACTATTTTTATTTTACGCAAATGTTTTTAAAACTTTTTAACGTAAATGTAGAGTTCACTATATAGTTTCTTAATCTGCAACAAAAGAACACTATTCGTGAATAATTTAATATTTAACCAGCTGGTATCGCTGTAAGGAAGCAGGAACAGGTTGTCATGGAGATCTCTGGGTTGCTATAGCAATTGCTGGGTTTCACTTGACGTCATTTCCTGTCTCGTGCGGAGTATTCATCAGCTGAATTACAATTTTTCAATAGAATTCTTTCTGGCTGACAGCACATGGTGGTCAGTGTTTGATCACCATTTGGAGCAGATAATGAGATTCAAAGACTTTTATCAGCTGATTGAAACCCAGCAATAGAATTCTTTCTGGTTGACAGCACATGGTGGTCAGTGTTTGACCACTATTTGGAGCAAATAATGAGATTCAAAGACTTTTATCAACTGATTGAAACCCAGCAATATTCACTCATCACTGTCGCATTTACCGTTTATTAGATAAAACAAAGCATGTAATGAAAAATAAAGGAAAACATGAAAAGTTATAATCATTTCTCAAAGTTCGCTCATTGTTTAGATTGTTTAGAAAACTGTATGTTAAATGATTGATATTTGATTCACAGATTCTATTAATATCAAGATACTAAACGCGGGAGCCTGGTCGCGAGCCTCTGAAAGGATTCCTGTTTCTTTGCCTACAGATGTGAGTAAACGAATGATTGATGACTTAGGATGGATATGATGACAATGATGAAGAGGATAACGATGTTGGTGATGATTATTATGATCAAGCAATGATTGTGATGATAGCAATGTTGATGATAATGACTTGTAAACAGGAGGCTATCACCAGTTATAGCAGAAATGTCTTTTTTAACAGCTTTATTGGCATCAAACTTCTCAATGAACAGAATATTTAACAAACATACTAAAGAAATGTCATTTTTTACCAAATCTACGCGTTTTATCCGTAATCTTCCATTCCATGTCATGTCTAAACGCGAAAGCCTAAAAGATACTATTGATAATGATGTTAGGAATGATGATGATGGCGGTCAGTAACGTTGTCATTAACTTGGACGTCATCTTTATCATTTATTATTATGTAGTTAGGATAGAACGCGCGCGCTGATTGGTCGAAAACTGTGCTTTATTAGTGAACGGAGCACAGTGCTGACACCATCCGCCCGCGCAAAGTACTGCTAGATCCTGCAACCTTCTTTCATTTTGCGTAAATAAATTCAATACCGAAATAAAATTAGTAAATATATAATAAAACGAATAAAATAGCTTTTTCCGAGCTCCATTCAGTAATAAAGCACTTAGGAAGCGCCATAAACACTCAATAAGTGTGAGAAACACTCGCCTACGGCCGTGCTTCTCCTTTAAACTTCTTTCGTGTTTACGCCACTTACTGCGTGCTTTATTACTGAACAGAGCACGGAAAAAGCTGTTTTATTTGTTAAATGAAGCCCAACAATTATATATCTTAATTTCCATGTTGACTGATGTACTTCCATCATTTCTTCGTCTTTCAGTTAGAGGACTGTATCCCAGAAGTAGAAGAATTTTACCGTAAAAACCACAGCGGACGGAAACTGCAATGGCATCACTTAATGTCTAATGGAGTTGTAAGTGGACGTAATGCGTTCCCCTGAGCCTGTGTTAATGTTGGTCAGCTTCGAGGAATGACCAACAGGAACGCATGCTCAGAGAACAAGGTCGAGAAAATAGGTTACATATAAGCATGCGCATTAGGTACCATCCTGTAATAGTTTAAGGTCAAGTGATCGTGAATAGTGTAGGAAAGGTCAATGATGCGCCCTTTACTCCCTCTGTCCAACAGTGCTCCGTTTTAAGGTTGTTTGAATCAATTAGGAAGATATCAAAACAGATGTGCGAGATCCAAGATATGCAAAAGAGTCAACATTCAATGCACCAAGTCCACTTGGGCGTAATGTTTTCCCATTCTATTCCACGTGTCGTTCCCTAGAGAATAAGATTCTTCGTTTGAGTTGTATCCATATTAATGCGTATTTTCATATGCAAGCGTTAAGCAATGAAATGATACTCTAGGGAATGACACGTGGTCTGAAATGGGAAAACATTTCGGCCAAGTGGATTTGTTACATGAGTACCCATTGGGCTGTGGATGCACCCTGAGTTGACAAATCAAAGTGCACGTTATGTTCCCTATCCAATAGAACCTCTAATATGTGGGAAACCTCTGTTTACTTAGCCACCTGCTTCCAAAGTCCCTGAAGTTCCGTCATATTAATGTGTATTTTTATAATATTCAGATAACGTTTGCTAACAAGATTGGCAAGTTCGATCTAGAAGTAACAACATTTCAAATGTCTGTTCTCTTCGCGTGGAACGAACGACCGCAAGAAAAGATATCATTTGAAAACCTGAGGTATGTGCCAATATACAGCTATTTCAAAAGGTTTTTATGTATGTGCGATGTGAATGCAGTCAGCGAAAGGCCACAACAATAGACTCTTTGCAGTACGTCGGAATGCAGCTCAATTTAGAGTACATAACAATAGGTTTTCAATTCTCATGACATTTAAAATTCTTTCGTTTTGTCCTCCTAATTGCGCTACTTTGACGTCACATGCAAGGGTTTCTTCTGTGCTGAAGCTATTCACATATGAATTGAATATCATACATTTCAAGTTTGGTCAACAACATGCAACAAAACCAATATCAACTATTTGATCATGGAATGAGAGCCACATTGCTACCCTCACACTAAAATGATTTTGTTTTAAAAAAGTTTTGTACTTTTTGTTTAAGGTTAGCGACCGAATTACCTGATTCTGAATTACGAAAAACATTATGGGTAAGTGTCTCGTTTTACCACAGGGAGCCCAATCGAGATGAGAGTGGCAGACGATTATAAAAATCGGGGGGAAATTCCCCTGATTGAATATTATATTGGGTCATCTGTGGTTTGACTAACATTCTTAGTCCTTCTTACTTCTTACTCTCACTCTCAGTCTCACTCTCTCACTCTCACCCTCACCCTCACCCTCACCCTCACCCTCACCCTCACCCTCTTACTTCGACGAAGGACTAGCGTCCGAAACGTCAG